ACTATTTACACTATTTACATTGTTTGAACTGTTGTCCTCATCTTTATTGTCATATTCACAGTCTATATTTCTGAGATGAGGTATTGTAACTATTTACACTATTTACATTGTTTGGACTGTTGTCCCCATCTTTATTGTCATATTCACAGTCTATATTTCTGAGATGAGGTATTGTAACTATTTACACTATTTACATTGTTTGGACTGTTGTTCTCATCTTTATTGTCATATTCACAGTCTATATTTCTGAGATGAGGTATTGTAACTATTTACACTATTTACATTGTTTGGACTGTTGTCCTCATCTTTATTGTCATATTCACAGTCTATATTTCTGAGATGAGATATTGTAACTATTTATACTATTTACATTGTTTGAACTGTTGTCCTCATCTTTATTGTCATATTCACAGTCTATATTTCTGAGATGAGGTATTGTAACTATTTACACTATTTACATTGTTTGGACTGTTGTCCTCATCTTTATTGTCATATTCACAGTCTATATTTCTGAGATGAGGTATTGTAACTATTTACACTATTTACATTGTTTGGACTGTTGTTCTCATCTTTATTGTCATATTCACAGTCTATATTTCTGAGATGAGGTATTGTAACTATTTACACTATTTACATTGTTTGAACTGTTGTCCTCATCTTTATTGTCATATTCACAGTCTATATTTCTGAGATGAGGTATTGTAACTATTTACACTATTTACATTGTTTGGACTGTTGTCCCCATCTTTATTGTCATATTCACAGTCTATATTTCTGAGATGAGGTATTGTAACTATTTACACTATTTACATTGTTTGGACTGTTGTCCCCATCTTTATTGTCATATTCACAGTCTATATTTCTGAGATGAGGTATTGTAACTATTTACACTATTTACATTGTTTGGACTGTTGTTCTCATCTTTATTGTCATATTCACAGTCTATATTTCTGAGATGAGGTATTGTAACTATTTACACTGTTTACATTGTTTGGACTGTTGTCCTCATCTTTAGTGTCATATTCACAGTCTATATTTCTGAGATGAGATATTGTAACTATTTATACTATTTACATTGTTTGAACTGTTGTCCTCATCTTTATTGTCATATTCACAGTCTATATTTCTGAGATGAGGTATTGTAACTATTTACACTATTTACATTGTTTGGACTGTTGTCCTCATCTTTATTGTCATATTCATAGTCTATATTTCTGAGATGAGATATTGTAACTATTTACACTATTTACATTGTTTGGACTGTTGTTCTCATCTTTATTGTCATATTCACAGTCTATATTTCTGAGATGAGGTATTGTAACTATTTACACTATTTACATTGTTTGAACTGTTGTCCTCATCTTTATTGTCATATTCACAGTCTATATTTCTGAGATGAGGTATTGTAACTATTTACACTATTTACATTGTTTGGACTGTTGTCCTCATCTTTATTGTCATATTCATAGTCTATATTTCTGAGATGAGATATTGTAACTATTTACACTATTTACATTGTTTGGACTGTTGTCCTCATCTTTATTGTCATATTCACAGTCTATATTTCTGAGATGAGGTATTGTAACTATTTACACTATTTACATTGTTTGGACTGTTGTCCTCATCTTTATTGTCATATTCATAGTCTATATTTCTGAGATGAGATATTGTAACTATTTACACTATTTACATTGTTTGGACTGTTGTTCTCATCTTTATTGTCATATTCACAGTCTATATTTCTGAGATGAGGTATTGTAACTATTTACACTATTTACATTGTTTGAACTGTTGTCCTCATCTTTATTGTCATATTCACAGTCTATATTTCATTGAGATGAGGTATTGTAACTATTTACACTATTTACATTGTTTGGACTGTTGTCCTCATCTTTATTGTCATATTCATAGTCTATATTTCTGAGATGAGATATTGTAACTATTTACACTATTTACATTGTTTGGACTGTTGTCCTCATCTTTATTGTCATATTCACAGTCTATATTTCTGAGATGAGGTATTGTAACTATTTACACTATTTACATTGTTTGGACTGTTGTCCTCATCTTTAGTGTCATATTCACAGTCTATATTTCTGAGATGAGGTATTGTAGCTATTTACACTATTTACATTGTTTGGACTGTTGTTCTCATCTCTATTGTCATATTCACAGTCTATATTTCTGAGATGAGGTATTGTAACTATTTACACTATTTACATTGTTTGGACTGTTGTCCTCATCTTTATTGTCATATTCACAGTCTATATTTCTGAGATGAGGTATTGTAACTATTTACACTATTTACATTGTTTGGACTGTTGTCCTCATCTTTATTGTCATATTCACAGTCTATATTTCTGAGATGAGGTATTGTAACTATTTACACTATTTACATTGTTTGGACTGTTGTCCTCATCTTTATTGTCATATTCACAGTCTATATTTCTGAGATGAGGTATTGTAACTATTTACACTATTTACATTGTTTGGACTGTTGTCCTCATCTTTATTGTCATATTCACAGTCTATATTTCTGAGATGAGGTATTGTAACTATTTACACTATTTACATTGTTTGGACTGTTGTCCTCATCTTTATTGTCATATTCACAGTCTATATTTCTGAGATGAGGTATTGTAACTATTTACACTATTTACATTGTTTGGACTGTTGTCCTCATCTTTATTGTCATATTCACAGTCTATATTTCTGAGATGAGGTATTGTAACTATTTACACTATTTACATTGTTTGGACTGTTGTCCTCATCTTTATTGTCATATTCACAGTCTATATTTCTGAGATGAGGTATTGTAACTATTTACACTATTTACATTGTTTGGACTGTTGTCCTCATCTTTATTGTCATATTCACAGTCTATATTTCTGAGATGAGGTATTGTAACTATTTACACTATTTACATTGTTTGGACTGTTGTCCTCATCTTTATTGTCATATTCACAGTCTATATTTCTGAGATGAGGTATTGTAACTATTTACCCATCTATTTATTTCATTGTTTGGACTGTTGTCCTCATCTTTTATTGTCATATTCACAGTCTATATTTCTGAGATGAGATATTGTAACTATTTACACTATTTACATTGTTTGGACTGTTGTCCTCATCTTTTTATTGTCATATTCACAGTCTATATTTCTGAGATGAGGTATTGTTGTCCTAACTATTTACACTATTTACATTGTTTGGACTGTTGTCCTCATCTTTATTGTCATATTCACAGTCTATATTTCTGAGATGAGGTATTGTAACTATTTACACTATTTACATTGTTTGGACTGTTGTCCTCATTTTTATTGTCATATTCACAGTCTATATTTCTGAGATGAGGTATTGTAACTATTTACACTATTTACATTGTTTGGACTGTTGTCCTCATCTTTATTGTCATATTCACAGTCTATATTTCTGAGATGAGATATTGTAACTATTTATACTATTTACATTGTTTGGACTGTTGTCCACATCTTTATTGTCATATTCACAGTCTATATTTCTGAGATGAGGTATTGTAACTATTTACACTATTTACATTGTTTGGACTGTTGTCCTCATCTTTATTGTCATATTCACAGTCTATATTTCTGAGATGAGGTATTGTAACTATTTACACTATTTACATTGTTTGGACTGTTGTCCTCATCTTTATTGTCATATTCACAGTCTATATTTCTGAGATGAGGTATTGCAACTATTTACACTATTTACATTGTTTGGACTGTTGTCCTCATCTTTTTTGTCATATTCACAGTCTATATTTCTGAGATGAAGTATTGTAACTATTTACACTATTTACATTGTTTGGACTGTTGTCCTCATCTTTATTGTCATATTCACAGTCTATATTTCTGAGATGAGGTATTGTAACTATTTACACTATTTACATTGTTTGGACTGTTGTCCTCATCTTTATTGTCATATTCACAGTCTATATTTCTGAGATGAGGTATTGTAACTATTTACACTATTTACATTGTTTGGACTGTTGTCCTCATCTTTATTGTCATATTCACAGTCTATATTTCTGAGATGAGGTATTGTAACTATTTACACTATTTACATTGTTTGGACTGTTGTCCTCATCTTTATTGTCATATTCACAGTCTATATTTCTGAGATGAGGTATTGTAACTATTTACACTATTTACATTGTTTGGACTGTTGTCCTCATCTTTATTGTCATATTCACAGTCTATATTTCTGAGATGAGGTATTGTAACTATTTACACTATTTACATTGTTTTGGACTGTTGTCCTCATCTTTATTGTCATATTCACAGTCTATATTTCTGAGATGAGGTATTGTAACTATTTACACTATTTACATTGTTTGGACTGTTGTCCTCATCTTTTATTGTCATATATTCACAGTCTATATTTCTGAGATGAGGTATTGTAACTATTTACACTATTTACATTGTTTGGACTGTTGTCCTCATCTTTATTGTCATATTCACAGTCTATATTTCTGAGATGAGGTATTGTAACTATTTACACTATTTACATTGTTTGGATTGTTGTCCTCATCTTTATTGTCATATTCTTGACATTTCTGCTGTTGCATGCTCCGGCCTTCTTCAAGTGATGTATGATGGAATTTTGAACTGAACCCTTTATTTCACAAAAGAAAATAGAAAAATATAAAGATGGAAATAGTCAATTTTTTTTTCTAACTTTTACCAAATTCTCTAAAATTTCTTCCATATTGTAAAAAAAAAAAAAAATTGCAATGAAACTATTTAATTAGATAAGTTTTTAATTGCTTATAGTCTGAAGAGAAAAAAATTTTGTTTTTTTTTCTTTTAGTCAATGTGGTATTTCAGGTGAATGAAGTTAAATGGATATAAATAAGTCACGGTATAGGAATTTATCTTCATACACCATCCCTGCTTTTGTTAGGATTTCTTTTTTTTTTTCCACTGAAAATCACCTACCCGCAAAAAAGAGTTTGACCCCTGGTTTTTTTTCTTTTAGTCAATGTGGTATTTCAGGTGAATGAAGTTAAATGGATATAAATAAGTCACGGTATAGATAAATAAATCAAGTTTTCTTTTTCTATTTTTACCTTTTGGGCTATTAATAAACCTGCCAATGTACTGGGCTTCGTTTTCTTCTGAGTTTATTTGCCTTAAGGTGTTTATCTGGCTGTCTTCAAGATTATGAGATTATGCATACTTTTGGAGATGGGGGAACAGAACTGTAATCATTTTATGAAGTAAACCCAAAACATTTGCACACCAGTGTAAAATAGATAGCATGTGTAATTCTAGGGAAAATAATGTCATAATCAACATTCAAGATATTCGCATTCCACACTACTTCAAACCAAAGGTTAGAAAGGAAAAAGCCATCAATACTGGAAAGAGTGATAACAGCTACTGAACTTGAGAAACCTTGAGAAATTATTTTAATAGAACGATTTTATAAATTTCAACTTAGAATAACTGGTTGCTCAATCAATTAATACCAAAAATGTTTCCTTTAAGGAAACAAATATTACGATTACCATTAAGAATACGACATTAAAATTCATTTTAGGTTTTATAATGTAAACAAATTGAATGCAAATATAAATTTTTATTTATAAATAAATGTGTGAAAATTTCAGATTTTGAAAAGGACAATATGAAAAAAAGACAAAAAGAAAATTTATCTCAGCTGACATATTTCACCCTGTGAGAGACTTTATCAAGGCAAATGTACTTTCCTTGAAAAAGTCCTTTCATATCTAATCAAAATCAGAAATAGATAGCTGACATTTCTTAGATGCATAATGAGGAATGAGGGCTTAGAAAAATCTTCACATGGCATATTGAAGGTAGGAAAGAAAGGAGAAGGCAGTAAACTACCTACCAGACAATCTTCTGTGAATGGACGCTGGAATAAGGTTTGGTGGGATTGGTAAAGGGAGAAAACTGCTCAAGACCACAAGAGATACATTTTGGAAGTCTATGATTGGTGATATTCTAAAGCTGTTGTAGAGTAGTTTTCACAGTGAAGGCTTGTATTTCAATAAGTCGTCCTAAATTAGGTTCGACGTACAAAATGTTAGGAACTTGAAATAAGAGTTAATGATGCAGCAATCTAGTTGTGATGGTTGGTACTTCAATGTCCGATATCGACTGACTCGCTCAACACCACTGAGCCGAACTGGCGACCGCTACTACTACTACTTATTATGTGTGGGAGAGTCTATTAATAATAGAATCGGTACATCAGGTATAACAGAAACGATACAACACATCAAAGAAACAAGAAATTTTTATATATTTTCTGAAAAAGCTATAATAACTGACTGGATGTGTCAAAAGTTTATTTTTTTTATACCTCGATTGGTTTGTTTCTTCATGATTCAAGACCAAAACTGAACAATTCCAGGAGTGACACTGAATACTAAAGAGTCTTTTTAAGTGGGGTCTGCAGTCTAGTCCTGCTGCTTGCATCCCATATGGTCTTTATATTTCAAGCATGATTTTCAGGGTTACTTTCTTCCTTTTAGAATTATTGAATAAACACCAACTGAAATGAATGAATATCTTTTACTGTTGATCAAACTTTAGAACAAGGTAACATTCATGAAACAATCTATGATAAATCAATATCAATATTTTCTGTCAGGTGAATAAATTCTCATCCACATGCACTTTTATACAGAAGCATTCATTTCTAAATTGATTTATAAATGGTTTTCAGAAATTGGTTATTAAATGTCTTCTATAAAAAAAAAAAAAAAACAATTTAATGTACTGTACTTTTACATTTTGTCTCATATATACTCTTTTTCTTTTCCAGTTTCTTACTTTTCTTATTTTATCTTTTCTTTCTTTCTAATAAGTTTTCCTTTACTTTAGCCTCTTCTTTTAAATGTCTTTCTTTTCTTTCACCTTCTTTTTCAATTTTAATTCTTTCTTTTTAACTTGCATCTTTTCATTTTCTTTTCTTAATGTTTTTCTATTTGTTTTTCTTTTACATTTTTTCTTTTTTTGTTTCTACTTTTTTTATTTTTCTCTTCTTTTAAATTTTCTTTCTTTTGTTGTGCTTTTCTTTTTTTTTTTTATTTGTTTCTATCTTCCTCTTCTTTGATTTGTTTTATCTTTACTAACCTCTTTTCTTTTCTTTTTTCATTTCTTTCGTTTTATTTTTGCTTACTGCTTTTCTTTCCTTTTTTCATTTGTTTCTATCTTCCTCTGCTTTGTTTTATCTTTACTAACCTCTTTTCTTTTTTCTATTTGATACCATTTTCCTTTTTTTCTTCCCTCTTCTTATTTCTTCTTTCGTGCTTTTCTTTTTTTTTTCTTTTTCTTTTTACTCTCTTTTGTTTTACTTTTCTTTCTTCCTTTCCCCTATCACTGCAATCTTCAACACTAGGATAAATAGTTATCTATCCTCCATATCCTCATAACATGCACTTCTGACCTCTTTTTATTCTCCTTATAATGACCTAGTAAGCCTCTACACTTAATGGCTCTTTAGCCTTATATTGGGTGAACAATATAATAAAAAATTATCTTCTTCCTTTATTTTTATATTTCCTGTTTTTACTTTTCATTTTCTTCTTACTTTCTTTTCTCTTTTCTCTCCTTTCTTTTCTTCTTCCTTTTCTCCTATTCTTTTCTTTTTTTTGATGGTTTTACTCTTTCTTTTACCTTTTATTTTCCCTCTTCTTTCCTATTTCTCTTTCTTTTACTTTTATTCTTTTCTCTCTCTCTCTCTCTCTCTTTTTTCTTTTACTTTTTATTTTCCTCATATTTCTTTCCCTCTTCTTTCCTATTTCTCTTTTTTTTACTTTTTATTCTTTTACTTTCTCTCTCTCTTTTTTTTTTCTTTTTTACTTTTATTTTCCTCATATTTCTTTCCTCTTTCCTTTCCTCTTTTTTACTTTTTTTTTATTCTTTTCTCTCTCTCTCTCTTTTTTTTCTTTTACTTTTTATTTTCCTCATATTTCTTTCCCTCTTCTTTCCTATTTCTCTTTCTTTTACTTTTATTCTTTTCTCTCTCTCTCTCTCTCTTTTTTTTCTTTTACTTTTTATTTTCCTCATATTTCTTTCCCTCTTCTTTCCTATTTCTCTTTCTTTTTACTTTTTATTTTTTCTCTCTCTCTTTCTTTTTTTTTTTAATTTTTATTTGCCTCATTTTCTTTCTTTCCCTCTTCTTTCCTATTTCTCTTTCTTTTACTTTTGCTCTTTTCTCTCTCTCTCTCTCTCTTTTTTACTTTTATCTTTCTTTTCTCATGTCTCTCCTTCTGTTTCACTTTTGCATTTATTTTCCTCTTCTATTGCTTTTATCCTCTTTTCCTCTTTTATTTCTTATTTCCATTCTTCAGCACTTTCTCTCTCTCTCTCTCTCTCTCTCTGTTTCTTTTATGCTTTTACTTTCTTGTCTCTCTTTTCTCATCTCTCCTTTCAATAAAAATCCTTCAAATTTATTGTTAGTGGAAAACTTTCAACAAGAAAAACAGAAATTTCTTCATAGATTCCTAGAAAACACAAAATTATCGATCTATCAAACAGATAATAATGAATAAGCCTGAGGGCTTTGAATCAAATTGGAAACACCTATGTTTACAAAATTCAATATAAATATAAACAAATTATTCATATTCTGTATTCTTTTAGGAAGCACCAGAATGTTGCCGCGGGACAATTTTGCATTGGGTTTACAAAAAGCTGATTCAGGTTCTTAAAACACAATTGCTGATAATAATGGTAAATGCTAGAATTCCTATAAAATTTTCACTATTGCCTATATCCTGTGTCCAAGATGAAAAATGTGTTGTGGCTCAAATGGTAAACAACTCGGGTATTTGAGAAAAAAAAAAACGTATCTACTCAAAGATTTCTGTTATAAGACATTTCATTAAAGACATGCACAAGATATGAAAAAGTCGGTTGTTCATTATTGATATTTACTAAGTAGAGGTTAATATAGCACATGCCAGAAGGAATAAAGAGAGGAGAAGGAAGACCGTATAGCACCAAACTTTCAAATCTATTTCATATCTCTACCATATTATTAATATTCTTAAGCCTAATGATGATCAAGACTGTCAGTTTTTTTACCAAGTGGTCCAAAAGGTGGACTGTATAGAGAGAGCTGAAGAACAATATAAAAAAATACCAAAACTTCAAAAGCAACAACAAATGGCATGGGAAGGCAGGCAGAATGGAAGACAAACAAACTTCAATCTAGAGATTCTTAAAAAAATAGAAAGAAAAATCAACAATGTTATTGATCCTGACCTGGCATCTAGGCTTTGATCACTTTTCTACCACCAGAAAATAACTTCCTGGTGGCATTTCGATAAATACTTACATGCCAATTGTTCGGATGAGCTTTCTTCTTTAGTAAGATGACTTCATGAATTTAAGGGCAGAACTAGATTGGCAGTTAGGTCTCATTATTTTACTGATGAAATTGTTAGATGTAACTGTAAGTCCTATTCTAATAATTACTTCTATCACATTTCTCACTTGTGGACTCTTTTCTGGTTTCTTGCTTTCTTGTTAGCTATAATCTACAAAAACTTAAATTCTACATCAGTCATCATCTTCGAATTCTTTGAATCATGTTCATTTATTTTTCACTCACCTCAATAACATTTTCTCAGTTTCTTTCAGTCTCAGTAGCCCCTTGCATTTCAGTGACATTATGATAACAAATTGGACTCTTCCTGATAAACTGGTATCCTATTGGCAAGATTTATACAAAGAGAACCTTGTGTTTTCTCACCGTGTTTCAGGTGGTGTAAGATTAATATTATTGGCTGTTTTGGTTATTACAAATCCAGCCTGAAGTTTCTTCTTTATTTTCAGTGTAAATTATTCAAAAAGGAATAATGGCTGACAATGCTTCATTGAATAATAATATTGCTTCAAGAGAATACTGCTACTAGTTTTACTAATCGGTCAATGATCAGAATTGTTTCAGTGAAAAGCAACTGAAGATGAAAAAATTATTAGTCAAAAATTCATAATGGCTGATTATGTTTCATCAAATGAAAAATGAATGGCAATATTCCTATCACTCATTTTATTAATATCAGATTATAGGCATTAATTATGGGTAATCATGAGATGAGGGATGTGGGAGTATAGTAATGTACATTGGTATGGAATTTGAACACAAGTCAAGATCAAATTACAGCTAAATTACCAACATTCGCTTTCATACAAATGCTTTTGTGAAAAACATGAATCCATCTCTTCTACACCCCCCACCTAGTTACAGGCTCAATAGCAATGGTAGACCTGACTCTCTTGCTTTGCTTGGCAACCCATCTAAGTGAAGGAAATCTGTAGTGAAACAGCAAGAAAACACTCCACCATCATTGCCAGGAAGTTAAAGTAAAACACAATAAAGAAAAGGTATCAATACAGAACCATTATCACCTGTGTCACAAAGGGATGTCTCATTTGAAAGAGGAGAAATTAAGGAAAGATCCGATGTAAGAATTTCTCCAAAGTTTAATGCCACTTTAGCGACTTTCTTTTTTGATGGACATTTAATTTTTTTATTATCAATATTTCTCATTGTACAAATTTTTGTTGTAAGCATTGCATGATATTATGTTTCAAGGATATCCATGAAAATATGTCAGTGGGGATTTTCATGATATTATATCAGTGATATTATAAGAATCTCTTCCATATGCCACAAAGGATTTGAGGAATCTTTATATGTTATATTAAATTTTTTATCATTAACTTTCAAATTAGTTCCATTTTCCTATTTTCATAATGATGTAAATACAATTTAGAATAGTAACAAAATCAATGTCAGTTTGTTTTGTTTATTAATCACATTAATAAAATGTCCCCAGAATGACCTTTCTTGACACATCAAATTATGAGTCCACAATTCCATTGTTCTCTATGTGATACTATATGTCGATAAGACCCCCCCCCATACCCATGACTTCAATTCCTGCACTCTCAGGATCATCAAGGGGGTGCAGTGGTTCAGTTTTGTGTCCAATGTGGATTTCTGCCAGAGGACCGTTCAGCAATGCATTTACTGTCAAGTTTGTTGGCTCAGTCATGTCCTGCGACAACCTGATGATCACTCTGCCAGGGTCATGTACCAGTTCAACCCATCATCTGCAGACCAGAAATACATTGTGGCAGACTATAAAGTTGCTGGAAGGACATTGTCAGGATATCCAGCAGATTGCTTCTGGTGGGGCAAGGTTGCTCTTGTGGGGTCAACACCTTCGGGGCATGAGCTTTAGGTAGGATAGGCATTAATCAAATTTATATTTTGTACCTATTTTTACAATTTATATTTTAACTAATTTTTCTATGCATGCAACATTTGATTTTAACAATACTTGGACAAAGTTTCAACTGCAAATACTAAGTCTCAAAGCTGTTATGTCAGAGCATGAATTTTACCAATTATTTATCTGACAGTTTAGTATCTCAAGGAACTAATTTAATTCTTCTGAATGGTGTATAAGTATCATACATGGATTATTTTCTGGATTTTACAAGTATTAAAGAATCTGTTAAATATTCAAAGTGGTGAAAAAGTTCAAATCCAATCTCACAAATCCAAAAGGCTGGAAAGATGAGTAGTATAGAAATCAGAAATCAAAAGTCCAAGCGGCAAAATAAAATAGGGTCAAAAATCCAACTCACAGATTCTAACACCATGAACTCACTCTTTCAGACAAAACAAAAATTACACTCCCCTCATCAGAAAAAAAAAAAAAAGTAACAGCTTTCATTGAAGAGGTAAATTTTTCAGTTGGTCACAATCGCCGGGGAGATAAAAAAAAAATTACCATATGTGAGGCTGTAATTATCTAGAATTTATTTCTTTTTTTTCGGCAAACTGTACCCAGGGGTCAAACTCTTTTTTGGGGGATAGGTGATTTTCAGTGGAAAAAAAAAAAGAAATCCTAACAAAAGCAGGGACGGTGTATGAAGATAAATTTCTATACTGTGACTTATTTATATCCATTTAACTTCATTCACCTGAAATACCACATTGACTAAAAGAAAAAAAAAGCCACCCTATTTCACACATTTCTTCAAAATGTTCTAACAATTAATCTTTATATTGGAGTAATATTGATTTTCTGAAAGGAACAATAAAATTATTGGTAAATATTTGTTGATCTCGTTTTGCTTATAATGCCATCTGTGGACTATTTTTACCTGTTGTAGTACTTTTTGCTTATTTAGTTCTTCCTGCATCGCAATGAATTTGATAAAAATCCAAAATAACAAAGGTGGTGAAAAAGTTCAGATCCAGTCTCACAAATCCAAAAGGTTGGAAAGACGAGTCATATAGAAATCAGAAATCAAAAGTCCAAGTGGCAAAATAAAATAGGGTCAAAAATCCAACTCAAAGATTCTAACACCATGAACTCACTCTTTCAGACAAAACAAAAATTACACTCCCCTCATCAGAAAAAAAAAAAAAGTAACAGCTTTCATTGAAGAGGTAAATTTTTCAGTTGGTCATGATATCCATAAAGGATAAGAAAAAATTACCATATATGAGGCTGTAATTATCTGGGATTTATTATTATTTTTTGGAAAAATGTGCACAGGATGCAAATTGTTTTGGGGGTAGCTGATTTTTCCGTTCACCATAACTAATTATCTTTAATCCTAGCAAAAACAGTTTGAGGTTACCACTAAATAGAAATTAATAATATCATATATCATGTCTAGGCGGCTAGTTAATGAGGTCCTAATATCACGTCATGGCCATAGTTAATGGGGTTAATAATATCACATCATGTCAGGTAAGTAATTGGTGAGCTATGGAAGAAACGAATATTTTCCCATTTGTATGTCCCCCATTATGGGCATTATTATATCCATGATATAACACCTTATTTCACAGATGGTATGGAATGGCTGACAGAAAAAGAATGATAAACATGCTTTGTTCTAAAAGAGAGTTTTATACCACCAAGTCATACACAAAATTAAATAGACATATTTACATTTACCCCACATAGAGGAATTATAACACATGTATGCAACAACAGTGTGAAAAGCTGATGAAAAGTGAGTCTTACTTTTCATAATTCCAAATGGGAATTTGAGCTGGCAGAGATTTTTCTATGTTTCTGGAAAAGCCATATTTAGGATTTCAGATTCAAATGGGACAAATTTTTCTTCTAAGTTATTGGCGAGAACATATTCTGCAAGTAGAAGATAGCTAGTCATAGGTTTTTCCCAGATTGAAGACTGTGAGCCAGAGATAGTTTCTATATATGGTGAAAATATATTCCCAAAGGAAAACAACACTATGGGCTTCTTAGCTGTGAGAGAAGCAGATTTATTCTTGGTCTGAGCAAGACAAAAAAAAGAAAGCAACTGCTTAAAAAGGCAACTACTCAGTTTGACTCCTGCAACATGACTGATGGGCTGACCACTTTCATCACTCTATGAATTGGCATCACTAAGAGG